CTTAGCAGTTTTAAAAATGAGATAAACACAAATATAAATCATATTATTTCTAAATCATGAATTGAAGATAGCTTACCATATCACCAAGACACTTTGAAGACTTTAATAGTTTGTAAACGTAAAGGCCCATCACTTTGCACCACAATAAATCACTTTGGTTGAACAATTAATATCATTAACTTGTGGTATTCAGGCTTGAGTGTACTACTCAAATGCACTGCTATTAAGGTCTTAAGTGAGTTAGGACTTTGGAGCAAAATTAGTATTATTGGTGTTCATATTTACCACTACCCATCTCAGCATATGCTTACTCACATGCACCTCAACAGCCAATTTTGTTTACAAATATATCATCTAACCCACTGCCACAACACACGCCTCCATTGGGTCTATATTCACCCAAGTCTAATACATCCTGATCACCAATTACATCCACAAGGATATAATAGTTAATAGCTCCCCATGAGCACCTCTCAAGCTAAGGTTGTAATAGATTGATGGTGTAGGCTTTTGGACCACCAACTTCTTAGGACTAGACTCTAATCACTAGCAATACATGCTTTAAGTCAACTCATTGGATTTGATCAATCTAAAAAGCTAGAGGAAAAAGCTACAGACACTTATTATGCGGATTAACTCATTATTTCAATTTTTATTTGAAATACTAATATCAAATACACCTATCCATTTTCCTGCAGTTTAATAACAAAAATTTATAAAAGAATAAACAAATCTAACATGAATTGTCATCTCAAATGCTTGCCACTTTTAAGCAAGAAAAGCAAGCACATGTCTATATACATTTATATAATATTTTCATGCCATGCATATTATAAATACTAAAAAATACCGAAAGTATTTTTATTGTCCACTTTAAATATATGCTAGAATATGGTCTTTACTTTTACTTCCTAATTCAAGAAGAAATCATGAATAAACTCCAATTGTGTAAATATGCATCCACATGAATTCTGCCATCACAGATCATATTCTGATATAATAAACAAATAATAATAATAAAAACCTAGATATATGAACTTATCTCATTTGTGATCAATTGGCAATAGTTCTTAAGATTGTTGGCGGTATGGACATAAATCACAAGCTGCTTGAGTCGTGCCCGAAAGGACACTGTCCTTAAGAACTATTTCGGTACACCGGGTTGACGGATCAGTAGTTCCCCAGGATTAAACAAGCACTTCTTGCACAATGCAAAGGCACAGAATAGCAGCACTAACAGGAAAACTTAGATGAATGTAAAAGAGGAGGAGAAGAATGCCTCGAAAGCTCAAGAGGCTAACACTGATCTTGTCTAACCCATGGCTATATATAAGCTAAAGGTAGACATTGGGCCATTAATTTTGGATTAAACCCCATTAAGCATCGGTTACATGAATATAAAACACATTTAAGCATATGTCTGGAAACGTTAGGGGGCAAACACATTTAGGAATTTTAATTATCCATTTAAAAAATTTGATTAAAGGCCAAAAAGGCTTAATGGTTTGAATTCAAACTCCAGATAGCTAAAAAATGAGGTTTTTCAGAAAGGTCATGTAAATAAATAATTATTTATTTTTTATATAAATAATTCAATAAAAGAAACCCAGTGCCTCTTGAACTCGCACAGGGGGTGAATCAGCTGATTTTGATTGCGATTGCCCTAAATTGACCTGTCTCGTGTGCGCAAACTCACTTCTCCTTCAAACTCATTTTACTAGCCCACTTTATTTCTAAGTATTTATACACTAGGAGAGTTTTTCATTTAAGCAATGTGAAACTTTTGACACACATACTTTTGACACACACATAACATGATATGTTGTATATTAGATATGTGGGATGGTTATTCCTCACCATTGTACAAGAAACAAATATATATATATATATATATATATGGTTGGTGGGATGGTTATTCCCCACCAAGGATATTGGGATGTATTGGTGAAAAGTTTTGTAATAGTTGAAGTCTGGTAACATGTGGCTTGTGTAATGATTTGGTTCATTACCAAACTATTGAAAATTGGTGTTTCTTAACATATAGACTATGAAAGTGCATTCTTAATTATAGTAGTTTGTTTCTTTGAAAGTTAGTTTGTGAAAAACTCATGTGCGCCTTTTACTTCCCTTTTGTGCACTTTGTTGTTTGTGCCTCACTGAATCAGTGGTATACTCACCTCTTTACATTCATTATTTTACATATAAGTGAATAGTTGAGTAAAGTGCTCTAGTGTTAAACATTGTGGACAAATTAGGTAAGACAAGTTAGAATAAAGATAACATGAAATCTCATGATGTCGTGACTACTATGGAGAACTAGTGTCGTAGTAGCATGTCAGTTCGATAGTAACATCGAACGGTTATTTAATTGATATTAAAGTATTTATTCATTGATTTTGACAATTCTATTACTTTTATTTTAGTATTTTTTGCAAACCATGATTATGATTTTTTTAAAGTTTGTCTCTTTTAAAAGTTTTCATAAGTTTGGTTTAATGTAGTTGAGTTTTGTTCTAGACTAGCTAGGCCAAGTGAACTTGTGTTTGCTTAGCCTATGCACCGATCACGATTCAAATTTTCAGGTCGTGACACAATATATATATATATATATTTATATGTACATGTATATATATATATATGTGTGTGTGTGTGTGTGTATAACAAACGCTCGTAGAAACAAATAAGAATTATCAATCTAAATAAATAACTATAAAGTAAATAAATAATAATTCCTAACAATTATAAAAAAAATAAAACTAACTATGCATATAAACATAGTGTAAAAGGCATAAATTATTACTAAAACTCTTGACATGTAAGTTAAGTGTAATTTTCTCCATGCCTTTAATAGTTCTCTTACTTTTTCATATACTTCACATTGACTAAAAAACTCTATTTTTATGTGTAATTATATGAATATAATGGCCATGCAAGCTTCAAAATAATTAATAACAAATTTTAAAAGGATTTTAATAAAGCTTAATCAATGATATTATTTAAAAATAAACATAATATCCATATATGATTAAAAGATAGGGAAAAAATGTAAAGAAAGATCTTGTTGTAATTTTTTTTTTTGGGTTAAACCTTTTTCATGGATCTCTCACTCACTCTCATTATTTTTCCCTCCTCCCACCATGTTACCAAACAACTATTTATAGTGGGAGATTTGAGGGAAGAAATGGAAGAAGTGGTTGAGAAACAATTCACGACACCAGTTACTATTACACAACTCATAGTTACACAGTTTTTTATTTACCGCAAATTCATCTTTATCCAATTTATACTTTATAGTTCTTATTTTATTTTATTTATTTTATTATTTTTATGTCAAATCAACATTTTTCCTCCTTCTATCACGTCGGTGGCAACTTCACTTCTGCCCTTCTTTTCTTTCAGCCCCAAAACCATACTCATTTCTCTCTCCCTCTCCCTTTCTATTTCCATGTGGCAGCTCAACCCCTCCTTTAAAAAAAAAACTCAAAACTTAAAACATAAGAATTAAATACTTAACATTTTGATCAATGTCTTGCAAATTACAAGAAAATATGTGAATCTTTCCAAAATTTTAGAGGAATCCTATATTTATTCTTTATTTATTTAGGTATTATTACTACTACTTACATATATTGTATTACATTATACTATATCTATTTACTTATATAATCTCATATATATATATATATATATTTATTTGTATCAAAACATGATTATATTTGGAATATATATTTTTTATGATAATTTTTGCCCTGAAGGGTCTTACAGTGGACGATAGCCATGTTTCTATTTTTGCCCTAAAGGGTCTGACAGTGGACGATAGCCATGTTTCTTAATACATATGCTTTTTGTGTAGAATAGTGAGAAATTTCTCTCTTCCTTTTTTTTGGGCAGTGGCTTTAATCATTTCTTTTTGTTCATCATGAATTGTCTGCATTTGTCCTTCTTCTTTCTTCTTTGCTTGACACTCATCATTGAGGTGGAACCTCCTATTTCCAATGCTTTAATGGCTACCCTCGAGCATGCTCAAGCTCATCAACATTGCGGCTATTCGAAGTAGCAACAATGACTTCTCTTAGCCATGAAAGTTGAGCTTGAACAGCTACTCACAATTATACTCAATGACCCAAGTGTTAGCAAAATTATGGGGAAGCTAGTTTTAAGTCTTGCTGTGAAAGCCATGGAGGATGAGGATGAAGAAGCAGATGAAGATGATGATGGAGTAATTGGTGCTTCTGAGAGTGAGACAGAGAGAGGGAGGGAGGGAGGGAGGGAGGGAGTAGAAGAAGAAGGAAGAGCCAAAAGAATGGTGCTTCTATGTGTTATCACGGGGGGTTTTTTTTTAAGTCAAATACTTGGTCAATTAATAGACATTTACTTTGACAGATAGAAAAGTGCTAGACCTATGGTTTTTTTAGTTAATATAATTCTTTGCATAACATCATAATATAAAATACTTAGTAGCCATTAAAAAATAATTTATCATTATATTTGCACCTTTACCCTTGAATTTTACATAATTAACAAAAATTACATATTATATAAAATTCATGCCATTTTTTTAATAATTATACATTTTAAAAATGCTTTTCAGTGCCTCAGTCATAATGGGCTTTTGCCTTTATCACTGCTCTTTTTTTTAGGTGATACAGCCACTACTTCCTATTTAATAAATAAATAGGCAGTCGGTAAAGTTGGCAAGGGCTATCACTGGCATTCTTCAGAGCGAAGGTTTGAACCCTGGGGAGTAACAGATATCATAATTAATATGTCTTCAAAGAGGTCATCCCATCAATACCTCGCTACCATCGTAAGGTTTTCTCATGGGGAATTCAAATTAGTCTAGGGCAAGTAATAAACCTAGGATGCCCCAAGATACCGGATAGTTTATATAAAAAAATAAATAAATAGGCTGACATCAAAAATAAATGAATAGACTTTCAAGTCCCACTTTACAAGATTCTAGCCCAATCTCAGACCATATGCTCCTCATAAGCTTGCCCCACGCTCTATACAACGTGTGTTCATCGGATACCCTAACGGTCCCTCACCGATCTCATCGTCTGTCCAGCCGTCTCCATCACCTGCTCGCACCCCGACGACCATTCACTCTTCATCGTCCTCCCCATCTCCCTCTGATACCTCGTCGTCCATCAATATGGTTTCTCTTTGGCTCTCCAGTCCCAATTTCACCCCCGCTTTCCTGGGCCTGAAACTGTACTCCCCCCCCCCTTCTTACTTGATTTTTCTTGGCTATATATGCGCTTGAAATTTCATATTGGGATGCTGACTGATTTTATTATGTGATATAGTTATATGGGTGGACAAATAAGAAAACTTTGATTTTTTTCTTTTTTTGTGATTTATCACCCACTTGCCTACCCCGGGATTCTAATCTTTGTTTCCTTTGACTGAATTTGGTTGTCTTCAGGCCCTTCAGAGATAATGTAAGGAAGCTGACAACATTTAGCAATGTTTCATGTGTTAGATGTGCAGTGGATACACCATATGGAGGTATTGCCTTCTAATTTAAGACTAAAGACATATTAGTTCTACCATTTGAGGTTGGGGTTTGGAGTCCAGCATTGGAAATGCGTGTTTCTGAGTATTCAAGGGTGGTGTTTGCTGATTGGATAACATCAGTTTTATGTGTTTTAATAGCAAAGCATTACTTTGTGTGGGACTAGGTATTTGGATGGCAACCACACTAAATGTTTACCTGTAATCGTTTCTGTTCAAAATATGAATCATATCAACTCTACCACAAAAAACAAAAAACAAAAAAAAACAAAAAGAAAAAAGAAAAAAGAAAAAATCGCCGTTCGTAAAAAATTCTTGAAGCATGTAGATTAGTAGATGTATACTAAGCACTCAGGGCCGGGGAAATTAAAATTCCAATCATGTATATTGACATCTAGTTATAACTAGGTATTTGTAGTCATGAATTTTATGAAGAATTGGTCAATCTGTAGACTAGAAGTTGCAGGAAAGTTGTGTAACATATATGCTTGTTTAAACATATCCTGGTTGCATTCTCTTAATATCAATTCTTATTCTATTAGCTCCAATAGAGTTATTGTTTCTGTTTCCTTTGCTTATTTTACTTTTATTGAATGGATACTTAAAAGCAATGAATTTCTAGTCTTCTTGTCCTGCATCTTTTGATTCCCTACTCTTTTAGATGAGCTTAAGATCATTGGCTTTTATTTAAAATTAATTGCATTGTCTTTTCTTCCACTAGTTGCTAGTAAATGGTTCTTTGTGGCTAACAAGAAGAAGGGTGAAAGTATGCACCTGCTTCCTTTGAGTCTTGAATGGTAGAAAATTGTTTAAGATGACTTTGTACATATACAAAGGAGGCTGTGAGAGGTGCTGGTGAGGAGAGTGGAATAGATTGGCTTAAGTTTTGTAAAGAAGCGTAGGGGAATAATAAAGAAAACTTTCAATGAAGTTGTTGAATGAGACCTCTTAGTTAACAATATATCTAAAAATTTGTTTGTTGATAGAACATAATAACAAACAACAAACAACAACAACAACAAGCCTTTATCTCATTAGGTGGGGTCGGCTACATAGATTGCAAGACGCCATTGTGCTCTATCATTTATCAAGCTTTTAGGAATATTATTAATTAAGAGATCGCGATCAACAACTTCCAAGAGTGTTCTCTTAGGCCTTCTTCTACCTCTCTTAATCGGACTCAAAGTTATATGTTCCACTCTTCTCACTGGTGCCTCCCTTGATCTTCTTTGTACATGTCCAAACCATCTCAATCGATTTTCTACCATTTTTTCCTCAATAGGTGCCACCCTCACTTTTTCGCGTACGTGCTCATTTCGAATTTTATCTTTACGTGTATGTCCGCACATCCATCGTAACATTCTCATCTCTGCTACTCCAACTTTATGCTCTTGCTGTCCCGTTAGAGCCCAGTATTCACTACTATATAACATTGCCGGTCTGATAGCAGTGCGATAAAACTTTCCTTCAAGTTTATTAGGCACCTTACGGTCGCAAATAACTCCTTTAGCTTTTCTCCAATTAAACCACCCAGCTTGAATTCTATGTGAAATATCTCCACTGATTTCGCCATCATTTTGAATAATGGCTCCCAAATATCTAAACTTTTCCACTTGAGGTATAATTTGATCTCCCAATTTCACTTCCAAATTATTGTCAAATATTCCTTTACCAAATTTACAATATAAATATTCCGTCTTACTTCTACTCAGACGAAACCCTTTCGACTCCAATGTCCTCCTCCATAACTCAAGTTTGCAATTAACCTCTTCTCTTGTCTCTGCTATAAGAACTATATCATCCGCAAAGAGCATACATTTCGGGATTTCCTCTTGAATATGTTCCGTCAAAACATTTAAAATCAAATTGAACAAATAAGGACTCAGAGATGATCCCTGATGTAGTCCAATCTTTATAGAAAAATCTTTTGTTTGACCACTAGGCGTTCTTATACTAGTTTTTACCCCCTCATACATATCTTGTATGGCTTTAATATAAGCAATCCGTACTCCCTTTTTTTCCAACGCTTTCCAAAGCACTTCTTTTGGTATACGGTTATAAGCTTTTTCCAAATCAATAAAAACCATGTGTAGATCTTTATCTTTACAACGATACTTTTCCATTAATCTCCTTAGTAGATAAATCGCCTCTGTAGTTGATCTACCTGGCAGAAAACCAAATTGATTCTCAGAAATACTTGTCTCCAATCTCAACCTGTGCTCAATTACTTTCTTCCATAATTTCATTGTGTGGCTCATGAGTTTAATCCCTCTATAGTTAGTACAATTCTGAATATCTCCTTTATTTTTATAAATAGGAATTAATGTACTTCTCCTCCACTCATCAGGCATTTTCTTGGATCGTAAAATCACATTAAATAACTTAGTTAACCATCTCACCCCTTCTTCACCTAAACATTTCTACGCTTCGATAGATATACAATCAGGTCTGTTGGCTCTACCATTTGCCATTTTCTTAAGAGCTTCTTTTACCTCCTTATCACGTATTATTCGATAAAATGACAAATTTTGTTCTCCTTCACCAATTACTAAATCCTCCAAGTTACTAGATGAATCCTCTCCATCATTGAAAAGTTTAGAAAAGTAAGTCTCCCATCTTTTTTTAATTTCATCATCTGTAACTAAAATTCTTCCCTCTTCATCCTTAATACACCTTACCTGTTCTAGATCTCTTGATTTTCTTTCCCTACTCTTGGCAATCTTATAAATATTTTGCTCTCCTTCCTTCGTCTCAAAGTTCTTATAAAATTCTTCAAAAGCTTTAGATCGAGCTTCACCCACAGCTCTCTTTAGTTTCCTTCTTAGCCATATGGTACCTCTCCCAATTTTCCTCATTGTTACACAAATGTATGGCTTTAAAACAGTTCTTCTTATACTTGATTTTGTCCTGTACACTATTATTCCACCACCAAGACTCCTTATCTCTCAGACCAGAACCTTTCGATTCTCCCAAAACTACTTTTGCAGCCTCCCGTATCTTTTTAGCCATATCCTCCCATATGATGTTAGCACTTCCCTGGGATTCCCAAATTCCTTTATTCAAAAGATTTCGCTTGAAAATATCTTGCTTCTCACCTTTTAATTGCCACCACCTAATCCTTGATAGAACATAATAACATCGTGCAATTTATATAACTGACCTCATCTAGTAGAATAAGACTTATTGCTGTTGTTTCCTTTGAGTCTTGGACTGTTTAGCACTCACATTCATGGTCATTGGTAGGGGTGGAAGTGGGTAGGGTTATTCATGAGCCACTTTGGCTTAGCGTGTTGAATGCATTGCAGCAGTTGAAGATTTTTGTCAACTTTTTGGTCTTTTAATGTTGCTTGATAGCTAAAGAGTCAGTTGAATGTAATTATATTGAAATTCATCTAAACACTTTAATTTTTCTATTTTAATACTTATCTATGGTTGTCTATGCTTCCTTTCCTTATTGGATTAAAATCATGATATGTACATACATCTATATATATTCTCTTCATTACAGGCAATGTCCAGAAGTTTCCTCGAACCAGTGTTTGGGATCCTTACAAGCGCCTTGGTATAAGCCATGATGCTTCTGAGGAAGAAATTTGGGGATCAAGAAATTTTTTGTTGCAACAATATGCTGGACATGAGAGAAGTGAAGAATCTATAGAAGCTGCATTTGAAAAAATACTGATGGCTAGCTTCAGGCAAAGGAAGAAAACAAAAATCAATCTGAAAAGCAGATTGAAAAAGAAAGTAGAGGAGTCTCCACCTTGGGTTCAGAACTTGCTCAACTATGTTGAACTTCCACCAACTGATGTTATCCTAAGAAGATTGTTCCTTTTTGCCTTTATGGGTGGCTGGAGTATTATGAATTCTGCGGAGAGTGGACCTGCTTTTCAGGTTTGTTTTATATTTCATATTTGTATAATTTGTGTATAACTCCTAATTAATAAAACTTGCTTTTCATATGCGTATTTGTGTGTAATTTTTAACTTGTGCATAATTTTCTCAAATAACACCATTACTTTTTTCCACTCGAAAGACAAAACAAACATGGCGCTTCTCTGATAAAAGAATTGTAGAACTATAGACTTTTTGGGTGTGCGTGTGTGAAATGGGACTAATCACATCAGATTGTTAAAATCCTTGTCAGAATCCAGAATCTGCTATATGCGTGTGCTTGTAACTTAGTCTGTTGCTGTAGGTGGCAATCTCTTTGGCAGCATGCATATATTTTCTTAATGAGAAAACGAAGAGCTTGGGCAGAGCATGTGTAATTGGGTGAGTTGGAAGAGAATAGAAACTCATGGTTCTCCTTTTGCTTGCTTCTGTCTGTCTAATTTTTGTTAAAATGTAGATTTGGAGCTCTTGTAGCTGGCTGGGTCAGTGGTTCACTGGCGGTGCCAAATATTCCATCTATGTTGCTTCCCCCAATCTGGACGCTCGAGCTTTTAACGTCTCTAGTGGTTTATCTCTTCTTGTTCCTTGCCTGTACTTTTCTCAAATGAGGTGGCGACCACAACCAGGCTCTCAACTAGTTCACTTCCCAATCATATACTGCTGCATTGGATATGTCCACCTTGGATGCAACAAGGAATGCAAGCCAGCACATGCTATGGAGAGAGAGCGACCAAAATAACAATTCTAAGTAAACGGTCAATTTACTACATTCAGAAAGACGAGAGGAAGAAAGCATCAGAATTGTAATCCTAGCAGCAAAAATAGCGAGTTCCTTTTTTTCAGGTGAAAAAAAAAAATAACAAGAGCATCTAAGTCTTCCATATCAACTTCATTTGAAAAAGAGCGAGTTTCCTTCAGGAAAAAAAATGAATCAACCAGCATACAAGTCTTCTAGCTCAGCAAGAAAGCATCAGAATTGTAATATTTACTTTCTGTTCCACTCTCTTCTTAAGTAGGTTGTGTGGGAGGAGGGGGTGGCGGCGGCAGTGCCTGCATTTTTTTCCTGGGACAGCCTGACTCAATGAAGGGACGAAATCACGGCATTTTAGTTATTGTCATTTCAATCTTATTTATATTCAAGTCGCCTGAGACCTGTGAACTATTTATGAATTTGGTGGAACTTGGGAGTATTTATAATGGTTATGGGAGACCTGATAGATTTTCCAAATAAAAATTAAGAAAAGAGAATCCTCCTCCCACGCCACATTTTGTTTCCTTTGGAAAAGTACAAAGAGGAGGTACAAGCATTAAATGAGATGGCAACAGCTTAATAGGATTGACGGGGTCAAAGCTCCATACTAAATGAGACGTGAGTGCAGAGTCCCAGAGAATTGTACATATTAAAGGAGAGAAATTGTTAAAAACAATGCACGGTAAAATTATTTGAGTAAAAGGATCAAAATTCTTCAAATGAATTAAGCTCCTTGGTTATTTGTTCAGAAAAAATTTTTAAAATTATTTATTCTTATTAAATGTATCCAGATTTTCGATCATTTTTCAAATTTACCCTTTCTCAATCAAATTGAATAAATTAGTATAGTCATTCTTCTCAACACTAAATTCGTAAAGTATTGTTTCTCTGAGAGTTAAGAAAAACAAATATTAATACTTCTAGGCTGTAAAGTATGACCGGAGGAAATATTTAATTGTCTTGTTTTTTGAAAAAATAAAAATAACCCTGATCCCTGCTACAAAAAATTCACTGCCATTGTCAATTGTCTACATCACAAGCCGCTGGCTTATTCTTGCTTGCTTATATTGGGCAAGTAGCTGTTGCGTGAAGTCATTGTAATGTGGGTTAGCTCTTGCATTTTCAGTGGTCACTTCCCATTTCCTTGCATCTTGTATTCTATTTTCAGTGGATACAATGAATTTCCTACAGCAACTATTGCACTACTATTTTAATTATTATTATTTTTATTACATACATGTATCATTTTATTGGAGTCAATCTTATTCAAAATATGATCAGATATTAAATGAAGGAACTTCTCTCACATTTTGAGTCTTAATGGGCTTGATTAAATTTCATTGGGTTTACTTGACAATTTGGGTTGGCTCAATAAGGCTGGGCTAAGCACCCTTTAGCCTCTTGTGTTTCGGGTTTGAGATATGCATTTAACTCTCAAATTTTAATTCAAAATTTATCGTGTGTGTGTGTGAGTGCGCACGCCACATCAAGTAGTGTGTAGAGGAGAATTTAGAAAACAAATATGTCATGTCAAGTAGTTTAATTACAAGAATTTAGAAAACAAATATGCCATGTCAAGTAGTTCACTTACAAGGAGCTATTGTTCAAATATCTCATAATATCTCTTAGTTTTGCAAGGGTATATTTAAACCCTCCAACCTTATTAAAAAGTATCTTTCTTACTATAATGGTATTGGAAAATCTATTTGTCTCTCTCATGAGTGTTGGTAGAAGCAAAACAATAGGGATATAGCTAGAGAACTTTGCATTTCTAAGATCTTTTAACTTAATAATTGCAAACTCATCCCCTTGGGTGGTAGCTAAGTGAAATTCTTTTTTCATTCACAACCTTTATACTAGGGATGATGCAAATTTAATCTTGAAAACTCTTATCTCTTTCACTAAATTGAAAGATTCTTTTATCTATGAACCTAGCATTCACACTGTCAAGAAGGGCTTTCAAAAAGTACCCATTTCAACTCAAGATAATACTTTATCTAAAGAAAGCATTTGGAGCTTTATTTGGAAGCTTCATCTTCCATTTAAAATTCTCCTTTTCAATTGTAAGCTTGTTCATGAGGCTATCCTAGGGGGACATATTATGAAAACATCATCTTAATTTCACTTTGCAATGTGTTTTTGGCTGTGATTTTTAGAGCCTCTCAATCACATCTTTTATGATTGTCCTTATATTAGAGTTATTTGGTTTCATTCTATGTTTATACGCTCCTCTGATTTCTTAAATAGGGGGTTTATTTCTTGGATCTTACATATTTCTTGTGAACTCCACCATGATCAACAAGATCAGCTCTTAGAAATTATATTTTTTCTCACTTGACATGGTTTTACAAAAATTAAGCTTTACATACAAGAAAAATTACTCTTGCGGATCAGGTTATTTGTCAATTTCAAGGACAATATTTTTTTCTCACAAATGCTTGCAATTCGAAGAATATTTATAGTACAGGATAAACTAATTGTCATAGATTTCAAGAGGAAAGATTTGTATTATTTTTTTTTGTTGCTTTGGCCTTATATTCAACCCGATCTTCTTATTTGGAGAACGAAGCTCCACTTATTCAAGAAATGGAAAAAAAAAAAACCCCATTGTGCTGTTCATTTGTCTCTCAATGGTGAAGGCTGTATTGAAGTGATTTTCTACAAATATGAAACTATATTTCCCCAAATTTTCTTGACTTACTATTTTCAAGCTCTCCTGCCTTGGATTTAGAATTTTGCACGAAGGCTCTTTCAAGATCAGTCAAATCTGGGAAATTTGCATGTTTGGTACAATAAGGAAATCTGCTTCTTCCCTACACGAAATCACCTCTTTGATCACGATGTCCTCAGGCTCTCTTACACGATTTTAACAGTTGTAAAACTAAGAAGATTGGTCCCAATATTTCTGTTTTTCCCGCCTTTACTTTTCCTAACCGTTCAATTAATTATGTTTTAACGTCATCCTTGTAGCTACTTTTTCTTTTTTATTTGGTAATATATTTAACTTTTTACCCCAAAACAAAAAGTAGTTCGGTTATAGTTTTATAAATGTGTGGACTTCATTCTTATTCTAAAATTTGTTGTTCAATATCTTTACATCATATCAATATACAAGGGATTCATTTTTTTTTTTTCATAAATATCCTTCTATTAGACATATTCATATTTGAAATACGATCAGATACTAAATACAAGAACCTCTCCCAACATAAATTTGAAATATTAATTCACTATATTATAAATTACTAGTCTATTTTGCTAGATTTAATTACGTTGGTCAAGGCATCTGAATTTTTATTGTAATACACAAAGCCTTTTTAAATTTCCCTTCATGTCCCATCACCATTCATGCAGCTTAAATCAATATTTGAGAAATCAAGTGGGAAGTTCATAGATTGAATGGGTAAACATTTTTTTTTTTGCTGCCTAAGATATTCCCACAATAGACAGCCATAAAACTAATCCCTTGAAAAATTTGAGCATCATTTAAAGGGTTATCTTCTCTCAAATAATGTTCTTCCATACACACCTCCAAAAATCAAACTTTAAAATGATACTTTAAGGGTCCAAACCATTACTATCTATGCTACATTCACTTGGTATGTGGGTAAACATTGGAGTCTCTTCTTATTTGCATGGCGGATAATTAACATGGGCTTTTACCATTATAGGGCAAAATTTGATATACTTATTCCTTTTCCATTAATATGCTCTCTCCTATCCATAATATAAAATATCTTTTAAAAATATATTTTTTATTGTTAATATAAGACACGTGGAGTATTATTTATTATATTTTTAATTTTTCTTTTATTATCAATTTAATTTTATGCCTTATTTTATATTGTATATATCTCTTTTCCTATTTTTAATAAAAAATTAGAAAAATTATTTCAAAACCTATTTAATAAATTAACTATTATTTATTAATTTTAGTAGAATAGTCGAAAGCATGTTATGAGTACATGCAAGCCAATTGTTTTATGGACTAAAAGTATGGCATTGCTGATTAATAAAGTGCAAATTAATACACATGTAGAGATCAAAGGTTTGTTTGGCAACCTATTCTGAAAATTCAAAACAAAAAAAAATGTTTGGTAGCATGTCTTCAAAGTATTACAGAGAATAAAAAACTAAATATTATTATGGAGAGTAAAAAATATAAATATCTTTTAATGTTTTAAGATTATTATTCTGAAAAACTAAAAAAAATACTTATTTTTATTATTTTTTCTTTAACACATATTTTATAAAATATTAATTTTTAAAATAATAAAATAAAAATAGTTTTAAACAAATCTTAACCCCCTCTTGAACAGGGGAGCTAAATGATATGGGGAAAGCATCAAATGTGATGGTGACACGACTGACGTACTCCATCCGTTGCTGTCTACTAACTCCCTCAATTCATTGCAATTGCCTTTTTTTGGGAAAAAATTATTGATGTTGTAATATATCTTTGGGAAAGTGACAGTAAGATTCCAAATGATGGATCCAAATCCTCTCACCAGCATTTTCCTCATTGTCTCTCAGCTCTCAACTATCGAACTCATCCAAATGTCTCATGCTTTGCCACATTATTCCATGTGGAAATAACTTAATTAAAAAAAATCTTTTACCCTATAATTCACCAATGTGTTGACCCTGATTACAAAGAAAGGATAAGGGGTCTACAACCAGAAAGCCAAGGAGAGCTATGGTTTGGAAAAGAGAATTAGACCTAAAGTGAAAAAGGAAGAATTAAAAAAAAGAAGCCAAAAACTCCTACCAAACCTCCTACCCAAATTTTTGCCTTATCACAAACTCAGGAACCTAAAGTTCAACTTAAGGAGTTTGTGAAGAAGCTAAGCTCTATTTAGATACCCAAGAACCTGTCTTGTTAAAGAAACCTTGAAGCAGTGTTCTTTTTGCGTCTTTTATGTCAATTTCTATCTTTATTTGACATTTATAGCTTTTTGAATTGCCTTCTATTTCATTTGACTCTTTAATTCTATGTTATACAAGTGCTCACTATTGAGATTTCTCAATGTGCATATTCTATTCTTTATCTGATTATGTTTTTATTTGCTTAAGGGAGGGTTAAAAGCTCTCCTTGTACTAATCTATTGCATCTAATTTTCCCATCATCTAAAAGAGAGAGAAAAATTGAACCTTGGTTATGATAATTACAAAAATAGAGAAGTTTGTTTTTGCAACTAAGTGTTATTACCCAATTTAAGGAAATGAGGTGTTTATGTGTAAATTCTTTGAATTTCCTTACCCTTAATTCATTTCTATTAGATATAATTATTTGAATTATTTTTTGTCCATGAATTGGTTCAGCTTGAATTAAATTGATTTAAATCTATTGCTGAATTTATTCTTGGACATACCAATATATGTCATTCATACTAGTATGTCAATATCCTACCCGAATGTATCTCTTCTTCCAAATGTCTTAGTCTTATTTGAT